AATGAACAGGTAATGAGAATCAATTCTCAACTTACCAACCCTAGTTTATTATATGTTCGCTATTGCCCATTAAATGAGTAAGTGTTTTCACTATATCTGAAATACACTGGAAAGAAGGAACTTCCTGGAAATTTAAGCATGAAAAGTTCCCATCAATGTTGGCCTGCGTGATAGGGTGCCTAGACAGGCCTAAGTTGCCAGTTCAATCTGTGGACTGTTTTCCTCCTCAGTGTATGGCAGTGATATTTTCCCTAGTACCCTCTTATATTCTTAATAAAGATTGCACAAAAAGACACCTTTTACTCTATAAGTTAAGAATTTGGAAGTCAACATGTGATTTGTCTTAGAGATCTTAATTCAAAAAACATTTGACAGTTCTCCTTATAGGAACACAAAATCAAAACAAATCAGGTTTTATTATGTGATCTTTATTGGTTAAAAAAAAAGAAAAGAAAAATGTGGGTTTCTTTCCAGGCAAAAACCTCTTTAGTAAAAAGAAAAGAAAAAAAATTCTTTTGTCTTTAGCTAAAAGATCTATAACTTAAAATTTCAGCACCTATTAAGTAAGCTAGTATTATTTTAATAAAACATCAACAAATAGAAAGTTGGAGAGATGTATCTAAAACACTTTGTTCTTGAAAACAAATTATATGGAAAATGTCCACATTTAAGTTTAAATTCAGTTTATATGTCCCCCAAATGGGGTGTATCTAGTTATACCCATACTAAATAGCTTATTTTCTATTTTAGTTTTTTTTCACTTCTAGTAGTTCTAAGTTTTACATAGAAAATACAATATAGAAACAGTAACATGGTGATGAATTCAAAGCCATTAGAAAGGACGTTACAATGTTGCACTAGCTTACAACTTCATTTTAAACATTCATGTAACCATTCACATGACCTTGAATCTCCCAATACTTCTTGGAGACATTCACAACATCACACTACACAAATGCAGTTGATTTATCAGTGTAACACACAAGGTTACTAAATTAAAACATTTAAGCAATCCTCAAAGCACTCTATCTCTTGTGCCTTTGTACTTCCTATGCACTTTCTCAACTCATGTATCAAATCATGACTCTTAATTCCTAGGGAATTTCTGAAGGACCAGATCGTTTGATAAAATCCATTTAGCCACAGCTAAGAATTAAGGATTTCAACAAAATGGTAACTGAACATGTGTTCTACTAAAAACATTTTTTTCCTAGTAGGCTTTTTTATTAATGAAATTCCACATTATACACCATTTTTGAGATTTTGAAGCTAAGTTCAGTTACTTTTTTAAACATACATTTACACAAAATAACAAGAACAAATTACAATGTTTTAAAAGCAAACGTTTCCTTCGAATAAAACATATCCTTAATATACAATATAGTATTATATAAGGAAAGTAAAGCAAATATTTATATATTATAACTATGTAGTGAAAAATCTGTATATTGTAACTGTAAATAAAGATGATAAAAGTTTCAAAATGGTTTAGCTGGTACAAAATACGTATCAAGTCACAAAGAAAATTGGGTACTTGCTTTTCATCAGTAAAGTGTTTTAATTCCCATGAATATCTGCATGTATACATTGACTATAATGTATACTTATCTTTCAAATAAGCAAATCCTGATTCCAGGATGGCCTTCACAACAAGTTAGGTTTCTATAGCCACTGGCTGAAAATTGTTCAAATACAAGTCTTCAAGTTAAAACATGAATCACCACTTCTTTTTTGAGTAGGTGAAAAGCAGAAACCAAGTTTGATTTTTTTATAATGTAGCATAAATTGCTTTAAATTCACAAAATCCTTTAGACCAATATGTGCTCATGTTTACAAAGCTACATCAAGCTATTCAGTTCACAGTAACTGTGCCAGGTGATAAACAGGAATGCTGTGATAAGATTATCTTTGGAGGAGGGGAATAAAAAAAATCCCCAACAGCATGTAAAATCGGGTTACTTGAAATCTCTTGTTATTCTACAATAATGTATTGTAAAAAATTTCATGATCTCCTTCATTTTCATCCATCCTGGTCTATGTTACTTAATGCTTAATATAGATATATTATTTTGCTGGTGATTTCTTTTTCCTTGCAAGGATCAAAGCATACCAATATGGACATCTGCACTAGTAGGGCCCATAAATGTTATTTTTTAAAAATATCAGTACAGCTAATATTTTATAGGAAAAACACAGAATAAATTTGTCAAAACAGATGATGATTAGATTAAGGCAAGAAACACAGTTTGGCATCTTCAACTTTTAAAAGTATGGTAACAATATTCATCTTTTTCACTTTTTATTATAAAGGCAATGTGCAGAGGGGTTACAGTTACATAAGTCAGGTAAGGAGTACATTTCTTTTTGAATAGTGTCACCTTTCCCTCATTTAACAGTAATTATAAGTGCCATATTAATTGTTATCATTATTATTATGATGGGGGAAAAACACAAAAAGCACATCTGTCTATTCCTCCTGGATTCAAGAAAATCCTCTGTACCTCTTGATCACAAATGAAAGCCACTTTGAGAGATATTCCTTATTTTTTAATATACGTGTCAAACAGAAGTTTAAAACAACTAGGACTAGTGAACACATTGCTGTACTTTAAACAAAATGATGCCTCTTGCTTCAAGAAGAAATACAGGCAAGGATCATCCCTGTAGACAACAGATGCTAAGTGAGTCTCTTAACTCTTTATTACACTTAACTTATTATTACACTACAAATCAAATGTCTCTATATTTCAAAATGACTCATACAACTAGTATATTAGGTAAGGGAAAGGGGAAAAAAAGAGTTGTGTGTTTCAAACTCTGCTTTTCTAAAATTTGCATGTGATCACTTCTCATTTGTCAGAGATGCAAACTCTTTTTTTTTTTACCATAGGGAATTTAGATTTAATTACTAAGTTTTAATATCACATTATATAGGTCAAATGAGGATGTGTACCTTTCTCCTCAAACAAAGGGATTCAGAGTAATAGGAGTTCGGGTTTCATAGGAGAAACAGCAAAATATCTTTTGAGAATGTCATTTACCGTAACACAAATCAATATTAACTGCTTTATTCAGGAAGCACGCTTTCAGAAAATGGGCCCTAAAGCTTTCTGGGATCCGACCCTAATTACTCGAGCAGGCTCTTGCCAGTTTGTCTCTCTTCAATTATTTACAGGGGTGGTGGGGAACCAAATGGCATTGCATTAGCTATATTAAACATTATGTATTTGGTTTGTAACTTACTAATGGTACATAAAAATTACCAAGGTGAATGTGCTTGTAGAAACATAGCTTTGTCTTCTTCTTCACCTGAGTGTGCATATTTATTATTCAGTTAAGTGTTGAATAGGCTGGCCTTTAGGCACCCAATACTGCATAATTTAAACTAGTGCATTAAATATATAACACATCTAAAAGGCAGTGCATTGATTACGCTACAAAATTTCTTGGAACAGCACGCACACACACACACAGCATTTCCTTCAAGTTCGGTAGGTATTCTTGAGGCTACTGCTACTCTGTTCTCTGATGTATGGGAGATAAGATAGGAACTGGAATGGCATGAAAAAAAAAGACCCCAAATGCTAAGTAAAAAAAATTCTGGCCTAGATGCTGACAAGTGTCCTTTTTTCTGTGGACAAATGCAGGACTATGTTGTATGTACAGGACAACAAGGACCACACACCTTGCAGGGAAGAAAAGCTTATCAAGATTGAATCAAAGATTCTTTTGGTACCAGGCCAGAAATGACCATTCACCAGTAGGATCACCTCCTAGGCTCTACTGAAGAAAGTTCAGCCGCTGGCTCCATCCATACCTGACTCCTTTGTGAGCTAGAAAGGCACTGGAGTTGTGCTACATGTTCATGTCTGATGGCAGCCTGTGCATCCACCTTTTGCCTTCCCCTCTAGTGACAGAAGCTTACAAATCAGTGAAATCTCCAATCTTCAAGGGCCCAAGTAATTTTTAAAATTGGTCCGAGAGGCATCAAATGGTCATTAAAATAGAATAAACCCGTTAACAAGGTAGCTATAGTCCCTAGAAATGCAGGCAGAATGTGTATGGCTGGCTGCTTGTCATTAGCTAAGTGTGGCTGCCAGGCCACTTTTGAAAAGGCACCACCATCGATCTGTGGTGAACCTATGATGTAGTTTGTTGTTGCTGTTGTTTAAAGGAGAGAACAAAAAAAAAACTAAACACAAAGTCACTTCTTTCTCTCCACTAATTTCTCTCCATTGTCCCCCTTTGGGGGGAAAACAAAAACAAAAACTACAGAGTACATGAAAAGGGACGTCTATGAATGCTGTAGTGAACTTTGGCCACTTTTCTACCCAAAACACCGGCGTAAAAGTAGAAATGAGTAACCAGGTGAAGTGCCACACCGCAAAGAGATCAGAGGCGGTGAGGGTCGGACGCGCAGGGGCGGAGGCGGGGAGGGAAGCGTCCAGCCCACCCCCCTCGAGCCCGGAGCCCGGGGCGCGCGGGAGGCAGAGGGGCTTGGGTGGGGGTGGGGATGGGGGGGGTCAGGTTCCCCAGTCGTTGGGAGGGAAGCAAAGAGTTACTGATCTTAGGGCAAGGCCCTGGACTAGGCAGAGGTCGTCAAGCCTTGCCACCGGCGGGTGCGGCTGCGGGCCCCTGGGTCCCGCCGTCCGCCAGCCTGCGCTTGGCAGGGGGGAACGCCACTCAGCCCCGCGACCCCCTCCCCGCCTCCCAGGCCAGGGAGGGGCTGTCGGCTCTTTCCTGTCTAGTCTCTGCCCCCGCTGCTTTCTGTAACCTGATCCCCGCAAACCGCTCCCCGGGAAGCCGCCGCCCCGCGCGCAGCCCGCCCGGTTACACCAGGGCCAGGGCTATAGTTAGCAACCTTCCATCAAGTCCAGCCGCGGGCGGGGGGCTGGCCGCGCGCCCCTCCCCAGGCCCGACCGGACGCGCGCCTCCGCCGCCCCCCTCCTTGAGCGACCCTGCCCCCTCCCACCTCCCCCCCCACCGCACCCCACCTTTACCTTCGCCTGCAGATACTGGGGGTAGTAGTAGGCGGCGTACTGAGGGTACATCTGCTGTTTCCACACTTTGCCCATGAAGCTGGAAGGGAGCCTGCCGTGCAGGGTCGCGGGCACTTTGGGGTTTCCAAGTCTCGGTCTCTCCAGCCTCTCCCTTTCCGGAGGCGGCGGCGGCGGAGGCTTCAGCGGCTGCTCCACCTCCCAACCGGGACCAGACGTCCCCCTCCTCCTCCTCCACTTCGTCCTCCTCCTCCTGCTCCTCTTCCTCCTCCTCCTCTTCTCCCTCCTCTTCTTTCCCCTCTTCTTCCTCCTCCTTCTCCTCCTTCTCGTCCTCCTCCTTCTCTTCCCCCCACCCCCCCGCTCCTCCTCCTCCTCCTCTTCCTCCTCCCTAGCAGAGAAAGACACTGCAGAGCGCAGAGGACACCCGGGACAGGGCGCTCCCAAGGAGTTTCCTCCGGAGCCCGACTGCACCGGGGCTGCCCAGGGCTGCGCGCTGGCGGCGCTGGGCTCGGGCGGGCGAGCAGGCGGAGCGGAGCCGGGAGGTGATCAATACAAGTGGAAAGTGCAGCGGCGGCGGCGGCGGAGGCGCGCAGTGCCAGCCGGCATCTGGGGTGGGTGCACCCGGCGGGGAGAGGGGAGAAGGGAGAGGGGCCGGCGTGCGAGGCCGCAGGGGGGGGGGGAAGGGCGGGCGGAGGCGGGGCCTGGACGCCGCGGAGCTCCGGACCCGCTGGAGGTGAGGGCTGAGTTTTCCCCACTCCTCACCTCCCAGGCTCCTCGGAAGGTCGGCTTGCAGGCCCCCCGGAGCCAAGATCGCTTTGTGTTGCGGGTGGGGTGGTTGGAGTTGTGGTGTATGTCGGATACCCGATTTAAGTTTTTATCATCTGAAGGAGAAAGGGAGGTAAGGTAAAGAGGAAATCTGATTAAACTCACACTCTGTTCCCCCCCCCCCATCCCTTGCTCAAGGATTCCCTCTCCTCCCTCTCTCTGTCTCTCCCAGTCTCTGTCTCCCTCCTCCTTTTCCCTCTGCCCCCCTTTCTCTTCCTCCCCCCACCCCACTAAGGAAGGGAAATTATTTAGTGCTGGAGTAGAAATACCTGGGTTCTGTTCCACCCCTACATTAGGCTAAGATACAAATTTTCTAGGTGACCTTGGGAGGTTGCTGTTCTTTGACTGGGGTGTCCTAGATGTAAGAGGAGAAAGGAGAAATCATGCCCTTCCTTATAAGGGTTTAGTCAAAGCTCACTGTCTGTCTGTCTGTCTGTCTGTGTCTTTCTGTCTCTCTCTGTCTCTGTCTCTCTCTTTCACACACACACACACACACACACACACACACACACACCAAATTGAAGGATCCTGCTGCTGCAAAGAGGCAGAATGCTATCAGAGGACACAATATAGACATCAGCTTTTCGCTGCCTCTTTCTAATGCTGCCAGACAGTCTGTCAACTCCCACTCATGAGCAAGGAAACTCCCTTAGTTTGGAATATTTTAAGGCCATTTTGAAAGTCACACCGGCATATTGTTGCAGTGTGCTTCAGTGACACATAAAATCAATCTCTCTCCTCTCTCTGTTGCTCTCCAGCTCCTAATTGTTTCAGCTCTAGACAGCCCCACATGAACACTGGTTTAGTTCACTATGTAACTGGTTATAATTTAATGGAGTTAATTGGTCCCTGAAGTTGCCTGCAGAAGACTTTTATATTCTAGCTCACAAGGAGAGATCATATGAAGTGGTACAATAAGAAAAAAAAAGCCCCAAATTGCTGTCCTTGCACAACTAATAAAAAAAAGTGCAAAATGTACTTAGTAAAGAAACCTTGATTACTGTATTTTGTCATTTTCATTTTCTGGTAGTCATTTCTTAATAGCACATGGTAAATAATAAAAAGTGCAACACCAGAGTTTGTTAAATTGTTATCTTTATATGATTTGCATTTTTAAATCGGTTTGATAAGATACTTTCACACATGATGAAACAGTGATATAAAACCCTTATCTTTATATGATTTAGGCAATTTCTAAGTCATATGTGTTTAACAAAAATAAAGCCAATGTAACTCTTGTGAGAACATTTGGTGATGACACGAGGCAAATCATGACCCCCCTCATTACCCTTATGATATCCTAGAAAGAAACTAGAATGCACGGGATTTTTCCTATATAACAGGTACTGCCAGCCAGTTTTAAAAGTTTCTTAGATTGTTTCACTATGAGGTCATTTAGTGTTTTTGAGCAGAGAACTAGCATGAACCAAAGAACACTAGGAGTGATCATTTGGAAGATGAATAAAGAAATAAGAAATAAGTTGTGTGATTTGAAGGGAGATGGGAAATTGCCAAACGGTTCTACTTACTGTGCATTTTTTTTACCCTTGATGAAAAAAAAATTAGCCTGATTTAGAGAGACTAAAAGCAGACTTAGCATAGAAAGAGAGGGGGGAGGGAGTGGGAGAGAGATGCTTGAGTTAGACAGAGATGACCATTACAAAGCAGTAGAGTAGGAATGAACTCTGCTACAAATATTCTAGGTTAAGTGGCTAGCCATATGAAAAAGAGGAAATCCAAGCCCTACTTCACCAATGCCAATGTTGAGGGTGGAGTCCAGGTGAATTCAAGACTTCGATATGAAAAACAGAATCATGAAGCTGTTAGAAGAGAATAGAGGGGAAAGCTTGTTGACCTTGATGTAGGGATGTATCTTTAATATGATAAGCATGAAAGCAAGATGGTTAAATTTGACTTTATTAAAATCAAGAAGCTTGGTTTATAGAATGATTGTATAAGAAGAGTAAAAAATAATTTTTAAAAGCCACAAAATAAGTATTGTGCAAAAATCACAATAGAGCTTATTTAAAAATAACCTGGAACCCCAAAAAAGAGAAAAGTCTTGTTTAGAAATAATGAGTGCATACTTACTAAGGAGGATAAATGATGTCGATGCACATTAGCATGTAAAAGAGCAATTTCAAAATAAAATAAAAATAAGACGTCATTCTACATTTACCACTAGACTGGCAAAAATTAAGAATTTTGAAGATAAAAAAGCAGGTGAAGAAGGGAGAAGTAAAGTTGTTAAAAAAAACTGCTTCCTGGATGCCGTGTTTTACCCATCACTTCGGAATAAAGCATGGCCCATTTTTTATTTGTATAAACCTTGCCATGCAGTTACAGGTGTATACCTTGAAGAAATTCTTCCATTGTGCGTCAGATGAAATACACTAGAATAGTCATAAGACACTGAAGAGAACTCAAATGGAGAATTGGTGAAAGGGTTTTAGTTGGCACACATAGAAAACTACAGCAGTACCATCACAACAATCTAGACCATTTCAAAATTTATACTGAAAAATGAAACAAGTCCACAGACTGCAATATGCATAGGCATGATTCCATTTGTGTTAACTTCACAAACAAAAACAAACAATATGTGTAAGAATAAGCATATAAATAAATTTTAAAACAAAGAATACCAAAAGGATTATAACATAAGATTTAGAATAACGATTCTCCCTGAGGGAGAGAAAGAGTTAAGGGCTTAGGGAAGAACCAAAAGAGATATAGAAATGATAAAGTTCTATGTTTTGCTCTGGGTTGGAGATTATATAGGAATATTCTTCAATATTTTTCTTTAAGTATTTCATAGCCTTTTTGTGTTTCTGCTGTGTTTCAAACTGATATATCTAAAACAAAAAATAAACATTAACATTAAACATGTTTTCAAAGAAATACAAAAGCAGAGCGAAAAGGATGATGACCCTTCCATGACTATCATTCAGCTCTGCACTGCCATTTTTCTGTCTCTCTCTGTCTTTCTGGCTGTCTATGTACACACACACACACACACACACACACACATTTTCCTTAAAAGAAATGACAACCATGGTCATTTTTGTCTTAATATCATCCATTCACACATTAAAAACTTTCAATATAGTGCTATTATCACATCTAATAACTTTAATATTTTGTTAGCAGCAGTTAATATATGGTGATCATTCCTTTTCTCCAATTATCAAAAATAACTTTTTGAGGCTAGTTTATTTCAATCAGGATAAAACAAAGTATATAATAAATTGGGTTTATATGTCTTGGAAGTCTATTTTAACATATGAAAGTTCACTTCCATTCATATCTAAAATGAATGTTTATTTGTTGAAGGATTAGAGACATTTGTGTCATTGACTTTCCAGCGTGACTGCAACTTCATAGTACACACTAAATTATGTGATAGTTACTACTCAGGGTTTGATTAGGTGCAAATTTATATTTCAGAAAAGATTGCTTCCTAGATGTCATTGAATAAAATAGAGGATGTGATGTGGATGACATCAGGATATGGAATGTCAGATTGTCTCACTTTTAATGATGCTACTAAGACCAGACAGAAGTTCAGGTGTTATCAGTGTTATTTGTTCATTATAAATTTCCCCATCAACTCACAGGTAAGTTGTAATGTTCAGAGGTGTTGTCTATATCATCAAGAGTTGCAGAATTGTGGTTTTCTCTCCTTTACGTTTTATTAGTAGCTTACAAAAGTTATACAGAGGGGGATTTCATTATTATATTTCCACACATGTTTACAATAAGTTCCAATCAATCCAATTTTATTATTCCTTTTGAATTTATTGGATGGAACTTTCCATCTCCCATTTTCTGGTCGACTTGAACTACATCTAGTACAGGACACACAGACTAATTTTACTTTATTTGTCAATTTTCAGAATAATAACTTGCTTCCATAGCAAAGTAAATTTGGAAAATTTAATGTGTACTAATTGCTTTATCCTTCTCTTTTAATACCCAAATTGTCCTATCATTGGTGGATTTGGAACTCTTTTAGATTGTCTCCTGATTCTTTTTACAAGATCCTAATAGACTTTGATAGATTTTGTTTTTTTTAGAATTTTAAAATTGTCCCAGGTCCTGACCTGTATCAGACATTGTTCTACAAAACTAGATCAAATCTTTTCTTTTCTTTTCCCTTCTTTTTTCCTTTCTTCTTTTTCTTTTTTAATGAAATAAGTAAAATAATAACAAAAAATTTAAACATGTTCTATTTACTTACTACATTTGGAGAAAATCACACCTGGGACATTTTAAATGAAAATTTGTGCCACAATGTTTCCTAGAAAAAAGAAAGAGTCACTGGGTGATTTTCCCCTCAAAAATTTAAGTTCTCCTAATACCTTCATCAACACTGAAGCAGCATTTTCTAGGAGTAGGACATTG